AGCTGTAATGTCTAAATTAGGGTGGCTCCAATGCATGATGATTTGACGAGTAATACAACAAAAGTTGTCCAGTCCTGTGACATCATCATGGTCTCTTACATGCTCAAGCCCATTGTGGAAAGTATTGTCATGGCTGCAGTGTCAGCCCATCTTGTTAAGACTCTTCCTTTCCTTCTCTGACCTTCCATCTTCCCAGAATGATATCCCTGTCCAGGAACTGGCCTCTCCTGAGAACATCCCCAAAGAAGGTGAGATGAAGTCTTACTCCCAGAACTCGCTTATTTGCCACCTGAAATCCTTAATGAAATGAAAAGGAGTAATATCTAGGAATTATTATTTACAAGTAATATTAGTACATTAAAGATTACTAAAGAATCTATACTGTCTGGTATGGGAGAGGCAGCCTACCCCTATGTCACCAGCACTCTGTGCACCCAAAATTTCAACAAATTCTACTTAGCAAAGGTGTACTTTTGTGCTGGCCAGCCAGGCCTGAGTCTTGGAATTTTTGAGGGATTTTCTCTTTCCTGAAAATGAGCATTTAGTTCTACTGAAATAGTGGGAGACATTTCATTTCATGCCTTTAAAATGGTTTTCAAACTGTTGTTAGATGCCATTACCGCTGATAGCAATTATGAACAACAAATCAGAAAGCTTTGCTAGCTTCTGCCATCCTTGAGATTTTGCCATGTTCAAGCCCATTTCTATTCCTTCCCAGACAACACACCACAGGTATGTGAGACCACAAGTATATAAGACCAAGTTTCATCATTCTTTCCTCCAAGGAGCAATTTGCTTGTACTTCCTCCAAAGAAGATTTCTTTGCTGTTTTACAATTCAAGGGAGCTCTGATGTGGTAGTCTGTAGAGAGCTGTGCAGCTAACCCAAAACTAGTGGTTTGACTCTACCAGCAGCTCTGCAGGAGAAAGGTGGGAAGTCTCTCCTGGTGCAATCTATAGCCTCTGAAAACCTGCTGGAGGATCAGCTATGAGTCAGTTACAATTTGATAGCAATGAAAGTTTGACAGTCCATAGTATTTGCAACACTCCTCACCAACAGCACCACTTAAAAGGTATCAATTCTGTGATTTTCCTTATTTACTGTCTTTCACAAGCATATGAAGCAATTGAAAATACCATCGCTTGGATCAGGCACACCTTAGCATTGCTGATTATCACTGCTCTTTAGCATTTTGGAGAGGTCCTTGACAACTGATTTTTCCAAGGCAACATGTCCTTTGATTTTCTGACTGCAGTTACCATGGGTGTCTACTGTGGATCCAAGTAAAATGAAATTGACAACTTCATTCTTTTCTCTATCGTGATGCTATTGGCCCAGTGGTTTGGATGTTTTCCTTGATGCTGAGACATAATCTATATTGAAAGATTCAGTCTTTGATCTTCTGCAAGTGCTTCAAATCTTCCTTTTCTGCAAGCAAGGTTGCATCATCTGCATAAGCCAAGTTGTTGATGAGTCTTTTTTCAGTCTGGATTCCACATTCTTCTTCATATAATCGAGCTTCTCAAATAAATTGATTTTAAACTCTACAGTATCTCTTTGTCTTTTTGGAAGACTGGTTTTGGGCTCATGCATAGGCTTTGTATGAGCACAATTAAGTGCTCTAGGAATCCCATTCTTCCCACTGTTATCCATAATTTATTATGCTCCACATAGCTGAACATCTTTGCATAGTCAATAAAATACAAACAGCATCCTGGTACAGTTCTCAAACCAGGCAACAGCCTAGTTCCCTGAGCCACACCCAGTGTTCTGGTTCATTCCTCCCCAGTTCCCAGGCAAGGCAGATGCGTCTGCCCAGCATGGATCCCCACTCTGAGCAGCAGTTTTATGCGATGCGATGAGATGGACTTTCATGCAGGGAATCCTCCCATGTGAGTGCTGAGTGTTCTCTTCGTGAGCCTGGGAGCCTGCATCTGCTTGCCTGTAGCCTGTGCTTCCGATTCTGGACACAGGGTGGCACCACACGCACAGAAGTGGCCATGGGTGGCATGAGGGTGAAGTCGGGACAGCGCCCACTATGTCTGGGTGGGGCTGCTAGGGTGCCCAGTGCCCTTCTCCAGCCTCAGTCATCTCCGGCCTGCACCCTACACGTCTTCGTGTCCTTATGAACTGACCTTGTTTGCACCCTACTGCTTGGTGAGCACCCAGTCCTACAGGATGAGATTATGGGGGGTCAGGTCATCCAGCTGTGAGAACTAGGGGATGGGAGTGGGCTGTTGTGCTCTGAGAAGTCAAGGAAGCCCGAGTGCTGTCCTCTGGAGTTGTAGGGAAGCCCTTCTTCCTTGCATCATCCCTTCCTCCACCCTGCCCCAGGCTTGTTCAGGTGCCTGGAGCTGACTTAGGGAGCCCAGTGAAAAAGTAGCTGCTCCAACTGCCCCCTCCATGGCTGCCCTTGAGCCTAGGGAGGCCTTATCACTGAAAGAAGAGACACCTAGGCCAGCTGATCCTCACTGGACCCCAAAGCTGTAATTACAGGCTGAGGCGGAAGGATTATTTGAGAGGTGTGGAGAGCCCCCCAGGGCCTGAGGCTGGGGAGATAACATTCAGGACACTGGCCTGGGGCCCCCACAGGAGGGGAGCAGGGACTGCAAGTGTTCTGGAAAGAGTGGTTCCTAGTGAGACATACCTGTTCCACTGTCCTGAAGGGCCTGTGCCCCAGGACAGGTGTGGACACTACTCCCTATCTGGGACTTGGGCTTACTTTGGCCTGGTCTGGCTGGAATGCCTTCCCCTCTATGTCACCGGAAAGTGAGGGGAACCGTTTGTCCTTTCCAGGACTGGCAGAGACTAGCCTTCTATGCCCAAGTCCAGCCCAGCACCTAGTACACAGCAGAACTGGGGGCCAGCTACTGCTCCAGGCCCTCTTGGGCTGGCCACCACATGCTCCTGGGGTCATGTGGCTCAAAGAGGACATGTGACAATGCTGACGAACTTGTGAGATGGCACGAGGTCACCACTGAGAACCCAGGAAAGGTGTCCAAAAAAGGACCATCGAAAAGAAAAAGAAAAAAAGGACCATCGAGCAAGGCTGGCCATGGTCAGTAAGCTGTGAGGTCAGACTAGGTGGGAGAAAGGACATGGTCCAACTGCTGAGTCAGAGTGAGGTCAGGCAGAGAAGAGTGGACTTGTGAGTCTAGCCATCAGACTGATAGGGTTTGGAGGTTATGATGTCTAAGTGAAGAGGGCAGGAATGAAGAGCTTTATTCTGAGGACCACAGCACTTCCCTGTGAGAGGTCAGTGATAGTAGGGTGTGGGAGGGACAGTGATGGGCACATCACTGGACTCAACTTGTCCATGCCGGTATTGACACAGGGCTGAAGTCTTAACAGCTGGAGGCTGAGGGTGGGTGGAGGACGGCCCTGGTCACCATGCCCTTGGAAGATACTGGAAGGGACAGGGATCAAGCCCTTCTCAGGAAGGTCTTCTGGTTGGAGGAGGGCGGCCCAGGCGAGCCTTGCTGGAGCTGGCAAGAGGGGTCAGACCTGCTCCACACTGAGTTCTGTTGTGGTCTTGTCCACCTGGACCATGCCATTAATGCCTTTCACCTCACCCTTCAAATGATGGGGCTGTCTACCTGGCTAGAGTGGCAGATACAGCCTAGACCAGGAAGGTCCAGTCCCAAACCAGCATCCTGTGCTCTCCAGTGCAACCTCTGGCTGACCCCAGGTCTTTTTCTTTCACACAAGTAAGGCCTTCCTAAGGGACCTCAAGGTTTAGGCTCTGAGCCTTCCCCACAGATCCTCAAGGGGACAGTGTCCAGGACACATCTGCAGTTGGCTTCCTCCCCCTGCCAAGCTCCCCCTCAGCTATAAAAAGCCCAGCTGCACTCCCGCAGGGGACATCGTAGAGGACACAGCCATGCTGGGGCTGCCCTTTGCCCTGCGGCTGCTACAGGCCCCCCCTGAGGAGTCAAGTGGTCCCAAGAGCACTCATCTCCGCCAGGCCAGCCAAGACACCTGTCTCCAGTGGGGTGAGTGGTCTTCAGATACTGGGGATTCCTGACTGGGTAGGGGTGCCAGAGCATGACCAGATATTGGGGAGCCAGATTCTTCTGGAAGGTGGCTTCAGGGTCAAGTCAGTCACATACCATACACTCAGTTAGTTCCCCAAGCTCTAGTGGGCCTCCTTCCGTGGGGCTCAGCTTTAACACCAATAAGGTAGTCTAGAAGGTCACTAGCCCAAGGTCACAGTACTCAGCTAAGCCCATCCCAGGCCAGGACTGCTCTCCAGACAGGAGAGACCAGGCCAGCAGGAACACAGCAGGGTCTGCATGACTGAGGACCATTGTGGACACAGCTCCCTGGTGGGACACACAGGATTCCATTTCCCCTCCCCCAGCACCCTCTGAACAAGGTTATGGGTTGATGATGCCCTATGCTGCTGTGATGGCTCCAATGGTCCCCATCTCCCCAAAGAGTATAACAGTGTGAAAATCACAGAGTAAGCCACCACAGCCTGCCAATCAAAGGCAGACAGCTGAAGCCAGAGGCATGGCTCCTGAGGTGGGCTGCTGGAGGGGTGTCTCCGGACCGGTGGGTGGGCACTGACTCTCATCTCTTCCCCTGGGCAGGAGCAGATCATCTGGATGACAGCCTCCTTTCTCAGCTTCCTGGTGCCGGCAGGCTGGGTCCTATCCCACCTGGAGAACTACAAGAAGAGTTCCTCCATGTGAAGCATGGCTGATGCCTGACATTAAAGCCCATCTGTGGTCACTGTGTGAGGTGGTGCGCTGTGGGCTCAGAGCAGAGGGGTTGTGGGAGGGGAAAAGGCCCAGGTTGGTCTCCCACTTTCCATCACAAGGGTCCCAGGTTTGATATGAAACCCAAGCACAAAATGACACAACCACAAAACAGAGGAAGCAGGTATTTACTGAGGGACCTCTTCAGAGTTCACTTGGCTGTGTGGAGTAGAGGAGCCGTGTTCTCAGCAAGCACCCTGGCCTGCTCCACCCCTACATGTCCAGTCACTGTGCTGGCTTGGACACTAGGTGAGGATGTCGTAGGCCTGGTGCCCCACCAGCATCTCCATGCTCCGCACGTCCGTGCACCACAGTTCCAGCCGGTCCTTCATGCCTGTGATCTGGGGGCAAAGCCATATGCGTCAGGCTGTGGTGAGGAAGCCTACTGCCAGGCCCACCCGCTGACAGAAAGGACACTAGGCTGGCCGGGGGTAACGGGATGATCCCAGGCAGCTTGGATCACAAGGTGTTAGAAAGCCAGCAAGCAGACAAGAAAGGAAATCCAGAGATTAACCCTCCAGCAAACACCAACAAGGTGGATTTGAGCTCAAATTGCATCAGGAATGTCTGGTCAGAATACCAATTTTAGGATTAAGAAAGGCCCCCAGCACAGCCCTGTTCTTGTCACAAAAAGCCTTTAAATGCAGGGTTCAAATCCAGGCTTGCATTAAATTGTCCTCTGGGAGCTTTGGTCCCTGAGCGGTAATTTATTCTCCACAATCTCTTGCCTAATTCTCCATTCTTCCTCAATGGCACTCTTCCAAACAAAACCAAGAGCAGAAAGCACAGGCCGAGAGGTAGTGCCTATCACCCACCTGTTGTAGGTCCAGCACACGGGGCTGCACCCAGGTCATATGGACACGTCTGTCCACCTCGTCAATGCTGCCCCTCACCAGCCCCACAGACAGTGCCTTCATCACTAGCAGCTCCACCTGTGCGCAGAGCAGAGTAGGGCTGAGGACTACTGCCCACCCATCCCTACCTGGGACCTGGCTTTTGAAATCCAGGACCACAGCTGCTTGCTCTTGTTTCTAAAAGAGCTGGCAGCTTCGAGCCCCAGAGAACATACCTCGTTCACAGTTATCTTGGCACTTTTGGCAATTTCTTCAAAAGTGAGCTGCCTGTGGTTGGCAGGCCGTGTGAAAGTCATCTGAAAAACACATTTGCTTAGGAGCTGTTTTCCCAAGAAAAACTATAAAACTCTGCTTGATTCATTAATCCACGTGCCAACGCTTTCTTAACAATGGCGGTGTGGTCCACAAAAATCTACTTTCAACTCTCATTCAAGAAGGGTTTAAGTGGAAACAGCCTTTAACTATCCACTCAGCGTACCGATCACGCAGAAAACAGGACAGGACTCACATGGAGGTGGGTGTGGGGCTGTGACCTCACATGGAGATGGAGGTGAGGATATGACCTCACGAGGAGGTGAGGTTGTGACCTCATGTAGGGGTGGGGTCATAACCTCACAAGGGTGGGTATGGGGCTGCTATCTCACGTGGAGATGGGGGTAGGATCAGGGCGGTGACCTCTATGAGTGTGGAGCTGATCTGACACAGAAGTGGGCATGGGGCCTCACAGAGGTGGGTACAGGTTGGGCAGGAACACAGGCCTGCTCATTCTGGGAGAGGGAAGCCTGTGTGACAAAGGCCACAGGGAGAAGCAGTGGCAGGAGAAGAGCATCTTAGCAGAACCATCAAGATGTTCTTAAAGACCCAAACAGGAAGGAGAGGGTTCTTGAGATTTAACCTGCTCTGGGTGGGCTGCTGTCCCCCACTGGTCACACCTGCAGAGCAGCCGTCCACTTACCTCCATGAGACAGAGAAGCTGGATCTTCCTCAGAAGCTGGGCTTCATTGGCAGCTAAGTCGGGCTGAAAGGCAGACACAGGGAAATAGGCACCCCTTGTAGCTGCCGGCCAGGTGGGGCCCTGAGGCCCCAAACAGAAATAGCCAGGCAAACCTGGGTACTTGGAGACTCATAAGCAGCTCCAAGTGGCTCAAACTTCCCTTTTCTAAAGAACAATAATATTTCCCAACTGAAGCCATTTACGAGGGCAGGCCTGTTCCAATGGCACTAAGAGATGGACACTGGATGCAGGCCCTGGGCAGGCCACCCATCCAAGGGGCTCCAGAGGCCCCACCCTTGTTCTAAATTGGGAGAACAAGTTGCGTATTGCAGCAGGTAACACTGGTTGTGGGCACTTTGGTGTATCCTCTGCTGGGGGTTTGGGCTTGCTGGAGAAAGCAGTGCTGAAGGGGCAGCTCTGGAGAAAGCCTAATGTGGTTCCCACAGGGGATGCTGCCGTGGGGGCAGGGCCAGGCTTCTGGAGAAGTGCCCCACCTGCACCCAGTAGGTTCCCTGTGGCAGGGACAGATCAGCAGCAGATCTCTCCTCTGAATTTCTGAGGGGTCCTTTCCTGACTGAGATCCACAGTTGTACTTTCACAAGGTGACAACACACTGGAGAGCATGGAAAGTTCGAAGTCCCACAGTGTCACACACTTGCTACCCACCAGCCTATTAGTAATATTTCATAAGAAGCGTGGCTAACAATGCCACAAAAACCACACACCAGCCCCTAGTGAACCCTATGACCAGCACGCCCGGCCTCCAGTAGGCCCACTACAAGCACTGCTCTGAAGCCTCTTCACGCAACTCTCTTCTACTTATCCTTAAGCTCACAGCTGGCACCACTCTGTCCAGACTCAAACTCCTGGGCCTGCCCTTGTCTAGTGCAGGGAAGAAGCCACTGCATCCCAAGAGCAGCCACACGCATCAGCTGACCAGCAACTAACTCTCTTTTGCCATCAGAAGTGTCTCTACGACAAAGCCAGGACTGGTTATTCTTTCTCTCCTCATATTTTGACAACCAGTAATATAGAAAGAAAATGGGGAGCAGATGGAAAGTGGGGGCCGGAACTCAGGGTACAGATGGAAGAAGGAGGAGGTGCAGACAGAAAAGGGTATGGACAGAAGATAGGGTGCATAAAGAAAATGGGTGGATGCAGATGGAAGGTGGAGACAGATGGAAAGGTACAGAGAGAAGGCGAGGTACAGAGAAAAGATGAGGTACAAAAGGAGAGTGTATGTACAGAAGACGGAAGATGGGGTGCAGATGAAAGGTGGAGGTAGATGTAAAAGGCACAGACAGCAGGTGGGGTACAGACGGAAGATGGCACACTGAGGAAAGGTGCTCTCAATAAACATAAAGGTGTACAGGCACCTTCACATCCTCAAACACACACAGAATGTTGACCCTGCCCCCACTCACCTGCTGGCCCCAGGCAGCCTTCAGCGACTGGAACTTCTCGACATTTCCACTGTTGAAGGCATACAGAGTGTCAATGAGCCACTGCCGGTCTGTGTTCCTCAGCGACTCCAGCACAGGGTGCATGAGCTGTGAGGGGGCAGATGGTCAGCCAGGACACCCACAGTTGTCCCTCCAGTGAGGGCCTGTGTCCAGGCTAACTTACGAGCTCGCCGAAGTTAAACACTCCTTCACCCAGCAGCCCTGCGAGCCCCAGCGTGAAAGCCCTCTCCTGCTGCTCCGACACTGGAAGGACAAAGAGATAGAGCTGGTTATGTGGTCGGCCACTTACGGATCCACCAGGCCCTCGCTGGACGGTATCAAAACCCAAGAGCCTGAGCTTTTGGACATATGCAGCTTTTCTTAAACATCATGCAGTTTCTGTCCTCAAACCACTTCCAGGAATGGTGTTCTCAACCCCATCAGTCCTATCTGAATCACTCCCAGGAGGGGGCTCCCCTGAGCCCAGCCCTGTGTCAAATTACTTCCAGGACAGAGGCTCCCTTTATCCCAGCCCCACCCGCTATGCAAGCAGCACTATCCTTCAGACTAGGACAGAGCCATAACTTCTGACAACCACAGGTACTTTTTCTGGTGTTTCTATAAAATCTGCATCCATATTTAGGACCTGTCTCTGCAACTCCAGAGCACAGCATAAAAAAGATCCCCAACTCTTCCTGAGAGTGTACCCCTTGCACTTTCCTCAGCACTCACTGGTCACTCTCTCCTCTCTAACCTTCGATCCACTCAGCCTCACTACAGACCCCACCCCACTCTTCCTGCAGAGGATGTCAGGCTTGGCAACACTGTGTCTGCATCTAAGATGTGGATACTCATGACGCCTCCAGTGTGGAAAACACTGACACAGGAAGGGAAGTGGGCACTGAAGGAGACAGCAGCGAGGACATAGCCCAGCCTGACACTACCTGGCAGGTCCTTGATGTCAATGCAGCCCAGAAACCGGAGTGCGTCCTTGTAGTAGGAGGCGTGGTTCCCAATGGTCTGGTAGTATTTACTGGACAGATCATAGAAGCGGCTGTGGACGGAGGTGACGCCAGGCAGGTTGCTAAGCATCTCCTCCACATCCTCAATTGTTTCCTATCAATGGGAAAGAGCACCTTCCTTAACCCAGCCACTTATGTGACACAGAGTAAGACATATTGCAAGCCAGAAAGGTCCTAGACAGAAAAAACTGGGCTGCGCTGCCAAAGCAAAGGCCTCCCTGACAGTTTCTGAGAAGAAAGATGGGCGACCTCTTCCTGAGTGATGGACAGCCTCGGAAGTAGAGGCTGCCCTAGCTGAAGACAAGCCGTGTGGTGATTCTGACTGCATGGCAATGAGACAGAGAACAAAAGTCAGCAGTCCAATGCATGCTAACCCTGTAGACAGAGTTCTACAGCACACAGAACCAGGAGGGATCATGTACAGGACGTAGAGGGGACTCCGACAGAGAGTCAAGACAGTAGGAAAACGGGCTCAAAGCACCACCAGGCAACTTGGTCCAGCACCCAGCCAGGGAAATGCAGAGGGACCCAGAGACATAGTGTTCTGCCCTTTGGGTTGGGCAAGGACACAGGTGTGACAAGGCCAGGCACTGACCTGTGGCACTTAGGGGTGCAGTCTAAGCTGGAGCACAGCCTCCTATGCAGAATTCAGGAAAGGGAGAGGATGCACCCCTTGCCTACTACAACTCCACCCCAAGAACACTGTGGGACTGCTATGCACATGAGCCAGGCAGGAGGGCGTGAACAGCGGCCAGGATGTGAGGGAGACCGCACAGCAGTGAGGACCAACAGTCTACACACCCCAATATGAGTCAGTCCTTCCACCCACCATCAGGGTAATGGACACCAGGGACCCAACACACATGACTGCAGACACGTCAGTGAGACACAGAGCCTGGAATTGGGGTTGGGGGTGCCAGGCTGCCCACAAGTCAGTGAGACACAGAGCCTAGAATTGTGGTTGTAGGGTGCCAGGCTGCCCACACATCAGTGAAACACAGGGCCTGGAGTTGGGGTTGGGGGGTGCCAAGCTGCCCACACGTCAGTGAGACACACAAAGCCTGTAGGGTGTACACACTTGGGGCATTGGACACACAGAACCTGGGGCAGGTGAATGCCAGCCTTCAACGATGTGAGACAGCGGGTACAGAGCTTGGGGGTATACCACGCTGCACGTACATGAGACACGGGACACACAGAGCGTAGGGGTGGGGTTGTAAGCTGTACACATGAGACATGAGACACAAAGCTTGGTGGCAAGCACCAGGTTGCACTTGCGGGGGTGGTCAGGCTGCACGTCAATGAGGACAAAGGATACAGAGCCAGGGGGTGGGGCAGGGTAGGTAGTCAATGCTGACTTCTCTGCGCTATCATATGAGAGCCAAGATTGGGAAGTGATTGGAAAATAAAATACGTTTTAGGACAATGAGAGAAGTAATCTTTTCTGTAATCTAAGCTTACCGAAAAGAGCTCCAGTGGCCAGGTAGATAAGGAACAGCATTGTCAACACAGGTGGTTCAAATCCACCAGCTGCTCCAAGGGAGAAAAATGGGCACTGTCCTCCCATGTTCTCCAGCTATGAGTCAGTTTTGACCACACAGCACACAACATCAACAAGACTACCTAAGCAGAGTAACAATATAAACTGCACATTATCTGGTTAAATAAAGTGGTCCTGGCATATAAATGTTAGCCACTGAAAGACATGTCCAGTGTCTGTCCTCAAAACACGCTAAAATGAAACAAGAAAGGCATTGACAAAATTGGAGCCTTCAACAACATTCAGAAGGCAGAGGGCAGGGGCAGGGTACGACTGACCAGGAAGGGCCCAGGAAGTTATGGACATACTGTGGCTACATGGCTTCAACATTCACAGGCACAGAGCACAAGAAAAAAGTCAAACATCAAAGCTGGGGATCTGGAAGAAAGGTGCAGGAACACTTTGTATTCTTCTGTCCATTTTCTAGAATTTAAAACCTGACCTTCGTGACCTGCAGGTCCCCAATGTTTAACTTCAGTGCTCCGATGGCTGTCTTGCACAGGATCACTGCCTCATCACTGCTTTTCACCTGTGGATGTGAGAACCAGGGCCCTCAGAATCAGGCAGCCATGTTCCAGGTGTGCTCAGCACACCCAGATGTGTCTGAAAAGCATCACCAGGCCTTATTACCTTCTCACGAGTCTTCTCCAGAAAAGTGAGAGCCACGTTTGGATCTAGAAAAAGAAGAGGAACAAAGTCAGAGAACCACCAACAGCATCCGTGCAGACTGGCCTCTGCCAATGAAGAAACTAATCTAGACCGCACAATCTTGGGCTTGGACCACCAGGGAAAACAAACATGTAACCCAGAACCCATGTGTGTCATGCAAACGCAGAGCCAATGACTTCAAGATCACTCTAAGCGCTCTGTGGATCTCCTTGTCTGTGAAGCAGAGTCAGGCTCACCAGTCATCTGTCTGACGACATGAAGAATGATCTCCACCAGGGACAAGGGGTTCACCCTGAAACAAAAGCCACTTGTCTGAGCTGGGGCTGACACACTTGCTTCAAAGTTAGAAAATAACAAAAGGGATTTTACCTGTGTTCAAATTCACTGATGAAGTTTTCATAGAGCTGTAAAAATCAAATAAGGAGAATAATCACAGATGTCTTTCATTTCAAAGCCAAGACAGTGCTGTTTGCAGTTAACAAAACTGATCAGCGTGATGGGGCCAAGCATGGGTGTGAGCACACAGGAGCCTTCTGGAGCAGTGTGCTGAACAACAGACCCGTATACTAGGGCCTTCTTTAATGCTGCTGAACACTCCAACCAGTGACCCCAGTGGGTTGGTACACGCTGTGTGCACTCACAGCTGCTGACAGGGGCCCCTGCAGCCAAGAGCCAGGTGGGGGATAGAGACTCCCAGATCTTTGCCACGCTGTCCTACTGGGGAAAGGAGAAAGGCCTGCTTTCCACAGGAGCAGTAAGTGATGTCCCTGGTCTCCAGGGAAGATTCCACTTTTACTACCATTTCCATTGCCTGCTCTCTGTACTGAGTATTAGATCAGGGAGAGAGGGACATAGGTGTTCTCTTTCTGAGACATTACGTGCAGCATGCTGGGGTGCAAGGTGGCCTCATCCTATGGACAGTCTTTGACTTTCACCACGATCAGGTGGGAACAGGCCTTAGGTTCATAGGGTCGCTATGAGTCATGCTCGACTTGAAGGCAATTATCAACAACAACATAAATGATAAGGTAGGATTGGTCAGGTTTGCCATCCATTAGCTTTAAATTGAACAGCTTTAGCAGTGAAGAGGGGACTGTCACAACCAGCAAGAAACAAGAGAATTCAGTGCACTTCCTTGGAGGCCACAGGTTCCTGCACCAGCCAGACCAGGAGCCGCGGCAGCCTCAGCAGAGAAGTTGAGACCAGCATGAGACAGAGCTGACCTGGGCCTGCTGCCCCACACAGCCAGAGTCAGAGGGCTTCACCCAAGCTTCCTGGAGGACTGAGGGCACACCCCGTGACTGGCAGGACTGAAGGAACTCTAACACTGATCTAAGCTGTGAGGCTGAAGGTCAAAGGGCCTGTGACACCGCCTGAGAAGCTGTCCTGACTGAAGAATTGTATCCTGCTGCCAGTCTCAATGGTAACCCATGAGTTTGGATCTAGGAGATCTGCCAGTGGCCATTACAACAGATCTGAACCCAGTAGTAGAGTGGTCAGAGCCTGTAAAGGAAGCCTGGGGTTAAAACCAGCAGAATCAGAATCGGGGTGATGTCTGACTTCACAGGAACCATTTTGTACTATGGATGTCGTTGATGGGGACAGTTTCCTCTTGTAAAGTTAAAAGAGAATCATAAGTGGCTACTTCAGCACTTTTTGACATCTGGGCACTTACTCAGACTCTGCTAAAAACACATCACATACATGACAGACTCTGCCTTTAGGGAGCTACAGGCCCAGTGAACTTGCAAACAGCAGTAGCCATCAAGTGTCAATAGTGTGAGTCTGTGCTGTGTTGTCAGGAACCAAGACACTGCCAGCGTTGTGCCAGTGCTCACAACTGTTGCTATGAGAACCACTGTCTTTATCTCTGTGAGGGGCATTCTGTGCTGACACTCGACTTTATCAAGCACAGTGTCTTTCTCTTGGGATATCCTTATCTGTGGCTGGGCCCACCCAGTAGCTAGTAAGCTTGGGAGCATGTCAGCAGATGAGGAGAGTGGGAGTGCGGGGAGAGGTCTCAAGGTTACACCAGCAGCAATGATAACTTGTGGTTATGAAGAGCACTCAGGAGAAAAACATCCCAGACAGGGATAAATATGTGCCAAAGCAGTGAAAACAAACCAACTCAGACATTCAGGGAGGTCTCTGAGGATAATGGGGCCAGACCTGCAGAGAACAGAGAGATATGTCACGTTTTAGAGGTGGAGGGGTAGCTCAGACAGCACGGGTGCATACAGCTCAATGGTCAGTGTAGAGGCTTGAGGAATTTAAGCCAAGAGCTTCATAGCCACTCTTCTAAGATCAACTGGGAGTAGAGGGGCCAGCAAGGGGAAAAGCTGAGAAGAGCCCTTTTAAGAGGCTACTGCTAGGACAGCGTGAAGTTCTGAAGGGCAAGAATATTGAGGGTGGACAGAATGGGAGAAACTTAGCGCCTTGAATCAGAATTAACCAGAAATGGGATAGAAGTGATGGTGGGAGCAAAGAATGACCCTGAGCTAAGTTGGCACTGACTGAAGGGGTGCTGTTCACTGAGATAAACCCCAGATGGAGGAGCCAGTGTGAGCAAAGCAGGAGGAACCTTTAGGGTAGTCTAACTCTGGATAGTAGAACCTGAAGCTCCCCAGATGTGAAGGCAGAAAAAAGAACACAGGCTTGTAATACTCATTTGGTAGTAACTGTGCTCATGTGAAATGTATCCTCAGATCAAGAAGCTGTTGTTTGAAGGAAACACTGCATGGCTTAAAATCAGGAAAGGTGTATGTCAGGGATGTAGCCTTTCTCCATATCTATTCAATGTAAATGGTAAGCAAATAATTTGTAAAGTTATTATGAAGAGGAATGCGGCATCAGAATTGGAGGAAGACTCATCAACAACCTGCATTATGCTGATGATGCACGCTTCCTTGCTAAAAGTGAGAAGGATTTGAAACCCCTGCTGCAGACCTGTGTTTCACTGATTATGCAAAGGCATTTGACTGCGTGGATCATAACAAACTGTGGCTGACTCTGAGAAGAATGGGAATCCCAGAACATTTCATCGTTCCAATGCAAAAGCTATACTTGGACCAAGAGGCAGTTGTCAGAACAGAGCAGGGAAACACTCATGGTTTAAAATTGGGAAAGATGTATGGCAGGGATGTGTCCTATCTCCATACCTTTTCAACCTGTATGCAGAACAGATTATCCGAGAGGCTGGGCTCTATGAGGAGAAGTGTGGCATCAGGACTGGTAGAAGATCTATTAACAATCTGCGTTATGCAGATGACACAACCCTGCTTGCTGAAACTGAGGACCTGAAATGCTTGCTGCAGAGGGTCAAGGACTACAGCCTTCAGTATGGATTGAGGCTCAATGTCAAGAAGACAAAAGATTCTCACCACTGGACCAATTGGCAGCATCAGGATGGATGGTGAAGAGACTGAGATTGTTAACAACTTTAGTCTGCTTGGCTCCACAGCCAACACTCTTGGCACCAGTAGCCAGGAAATTAAAAGATGTATTGCCATGGGAAAGTCTGCTGTTAGGGACCTCTCTAAAGTACTCAAGAGCAACGGTGTCACTCTGGAGACTAAGGTGCGTCTGATACAGGCTATGGTCTTTGCAATCACTTTCCCAATTTTAAACCAGAGAGTTGGACAATGACTGAAGAGGATAGGAGAATTGATGCCTTTGAGCTGTGGTGCTGGAGAAGAGTACTGAATGTACCATAAGCTGCCAAGAAAAGAAACAGAGTCATCCTGGAGAGGGTGAAACCAGGCTGCTCCTTGGAGGCAAGGATTCTGGTGCTTCGTCTGACATACTCTGGCCATGTTGGAAGGAGGGACAGGTCCTTGGAGAGGGACATCATGCTTGGGAGGGTGGAGGGATGACGCAAGAGGGGAAGACCCTCTACGAGGTGGACTGATTCAGTGACTGGAGTAATCAGGATGGGTGTGTCAGAGGCAGTGTGATTGGCACAGGACAGAGCAGGGTTTAGGGCTGTTGTACATAGGGTCGCTATGAGTCACAAAGGACTTGACGGCACATAACAACAACATCAATCAAGAAAACAAAGGTCCTCACCACTGGACAAACAGGATATCATGATAGATAAAGGACTGAAATTGACTGCCAATGATTTCATCTCGGCTTGGATTGATAATCAACATCCCTGGTACCAGCAGTCAGGAGTTAAGGAGACACTGCATTGGGCAAGTCTGCTGTCAGGGACGCCTACAAAATACCGACGAACAACAACATTAGTTTGAAGACCAAGGTGCACCTGATTCAGGCCATGGTCTTTTCAATCATTTGCTATGGATCTGAGAGCTGGACAATGAATAAGGATCACAGAAGAATCGATATCTTTGAATTGTGGTAACTGTAGAAGACTACTGAATGTCCCACGGACTGCTAAGAGAACAGATACTCATACTGGGAAAAGTGTAGCCAGAGTGCTCCTTGGAGGCAATGACAGTGAAGCTTCATCTCATACTTTGGATTGTTGCTAGAAGAGGTTATTTGAAAATAGATAGCATGTTTGGAACAGTAGAGGGTCAAAAAGAGAGAAAGATCCCCACCAAGACCGGACTGACACCATGACTGCAGCCATGGGTCAAATGTGTCAGAGATGATGAGGATGGCATGGGATAAGACAGGGTTCAGGCTGGTGTTCACAGGGTCACCATGAGTTGTAGTACTTGATTCAACAGCAACTAACAACAACACAGACAATAAATGTCTTTTTCATTACAAGTGAACACTTCATAGATACCTTCCTCATTCATAGAAAAATGCTTCAGACTCCATTTATTAACTACTACTGCTTAAATAAATATCTAAGCCCAGAAACACAAAACTCCTTCTGGTGATATCACACTTGTCTTACGCTTAAGTAGACTGAGTCCTATTAAGTATAAAGGTATAAGGAAATGGTAAACTCAAGTCTGACTTGCCTGTGATAGGCAGACAAAAAGGTCAAGAGCAGAGACAAATGACCACGAAGCTTCAGCGTGACAAAGAATCTTGGGGACAAATGGTGGGATGAGCCTCACACAACATTTTCCTTCAGAGCCTGGCCGACAGCAGGTCCACAGGCACAAACCCAAGCAAGGCCTGCAAGGCCAGGCAGTGAGGCAGCAGCATGGACAGATGCACACATGAGCACACAGCGGAATCCATCCAGGGAACACACAATCCATGTGCTAGCTACCAGTGTCAATGGAGGTATGAGTATCTAATTCATTCAAGCAGCACACAGCTTAGTCAGTCAGGCCTGCGGGTGGCTGGGACAGAGAAGGCAGGGTGAGAAAAGGCACAGATAATGGAGCCGGCTAGTTGCATTCTGGGGAATGAGAGGAAATCAGGGGGGCCTAGACCCCAGATGCTGGGGGTGTTAGAACAAAGGAATCCTCAGTCACCGCACAGGAAGTGAGAAGCCAGTGAAGGAGCAAGTGGGACAGCCTGAAGAGGACTTGATGCAGCCATGCCTGAAATGTTCACAGGAAGGCATCCACCCTGAGCAGTAGGAAACACACAAATGGGGCTGTGAAGACAGAGAAGTAAAGAAATCATAGAGGAAAGCCACAGCAGTCTTCATTCTAAAACAGAACTGGGGGACACGAACCGATCGGAATGAGATGGAAAACAAGGGCATGACAGGACTCAGTGTCTTCCCACAGCACCAGCCTGACCAGGCACTCTCCTTCTGTTTCTTAAGCTATCACCTTCCCCACGACCTGTACACAGTTAAGTAATGGGTGTTCTAACCCCACTGAAGGGAGCTCTGGTGGCCTAGTAGCAAAGCTGCACTGCAACCCCAAAGGCATGGAGTTCAAATCCACCTGCTTCTCTGTGGAAGAAGAATGGGCAATCTCCTCCTGTGCAATTTACTGCCTCTGAAGACCCACCAGAGGGTCAGCTATGAGTTAGTTCTAACTCAATGGCACACAACAACCCCCCACTGGAGACCAAAGTTGGTACAGTGAGCAAGCAGTTCTCACATTTTCGGTGTTGAGGGTATCATAAATGAATATCTTAGAGTCAAGAAAACTGTCTTAACTTCCTAACACTGTTTATACCTGGTATAGACTGAATCAAATCTCTCAAAAATGTGTGTTGTAAATCCTAATCCTATATAACCGTGGACGCAATCTCACTGGGAAATAGGAGCTTCCTTATGTTAAAAGAGACAGAAGCAGAGATGGGGGAAGACAGATGCCCCAAGAAGATCACCAAGGACAGATGTTGAAAAGATACAAGGACAAAAAAAAAAAGAAAAGATACAAGGACATTTCCTGAGAGCTGACTCAGACAAGTGCAACCTGAGTCTAGACTTCTGAGTGGTGGGAAAAGAAATTATTATATTATAAATAATAGTTTGTTAAAGTCATCTACCTTAGTTATTTCTGTTCCAGCAACACTAAAACAGAGCTTAAAGAATTAAGACATGACAGATGAATTGACTCCTAACAGAAATATAACCAAAAAATTTTAGACAGAGATGATTACTATTATTAAATTAAAAGACAAAGTAATCTCTCAAAAAACTCCAGAAAGAAAAGCCAGTTAAATAGTAATGCTAGGAAGTGAGATGATTGTTTTCTGTTGACAAAGTTTTAAAAGTACTCTGTTACAGAGGCATATAGTACCATACAGGACCCCAGGTTTTGCCCGCTGCCATGCTGCCCAGGACAGAGTAGTGTGGCAAACATCTGAGATGCAGAATGTTAAAGTCTGGAGAGGAGGTGACGCACACAGGACTGAGATGGTTAGAGGAAGACATTCTCACTAGCAGTCACCATCGATTGCTTTTCCAGTCCTCAGCCTGATGTTTTAATTTTTAAATACCTTCCCAAAAGCACACAAAGCTTCCATGAAACTCTGCTGGAACAGTAGTCAGTGCTCAGCTGCCAATCCCAAACCACCTAGCTCTCTGCAGGAGAAAGATGGGGCAATGCACACCCATGTTTATTGCAGCTTTGTTCACAATAGCAAGGAGTTGGAAACAACCTAAGTGCCCATCAACAAACGAATGGCTAGAGAAGCTGT